ACGGGTAGGGTCTGCCTCCTCGCACGGACGATCTGTGGAGGCTACTAGTCAGCACAGCACTGGCCTGCACATGCCACACCCCTACCAACAGGTGTTTGCCGTTCCTGGGACCCAGAGCCCCACGCAGCCTCCTGCTGTCTCAAGTACAGTTTAGAACATAATTCTATACACCCATCTGGTAATAGCAACCATGAGGGAAAAAACGAGAGCCCCACGCAGCCTCCTGCTGTCTCAAGTACAGTTTAGAGCATAATTCTATACAGAAGTCACCCATCTGGTAATAGCAACCATGAGGAAGAAACCGGAAATCCAGAACTAAGACCCAAAAGGTTACCGAGAAGCCAAAAGAAATGACATAAAACACTTGTGCACTCAGATAGAAAGACTGTGCTCTTGTATCTTGAGTTCTATTTCTACAGCCTCCTGCTGTCTCAAGTACAGTTTAGAGCATAATTCTATACAGAAGTCACCCATCTGGTAATAGCAACCATGAGGAAGAAACCGGAAATCCAGAACTAAGACCCAAAAGGTTACCGAGAAGCCAAAAGAAATGACATAAAACACTTGTGCACTCAGATAGAAAGACTGTGCTCTTGTATCTTGAGTTCTATTTCTACGAAGCTCGGCCTGTCAGTCTTCTATCCCTCCAAAGAAGAGAAGTTGCTCATTTCAAGGGGAGATGCAAAACTCCAGCAGAGGACAGCTGCTGAGAGAAAGATATGCTGGAAGGAGACTTCGGCAAGTCAGCTGAAGCCAGCATTTGGGAGGCACTGACCAAGTGGCTGCTGGGGACAAGAGCCAGACCTCGCAGTGCAAAGAGCTGGAAGGTGAGCATCCACAACAATGCAGCGCAGCCAGCATGGTAACGAAGACCAGGAGGACTCCAAAAATTCACAGAAAATGCACGTGATGAAAAACTACGCAGAGACGTCAAAACATTTTTGAACCAAAATAAATCCATACTTTAATTCCATTTTCCCTCAGCTTTTTGAAGTCCTGTTTAGACCCTCCCAATCCCAAAGATGTTTACAGAGCATTAAAAAAATAAAAAATAAAAAAAACTCAGAGTTTTTCAAGTCCAGCTAAGGTGACAGCCAACCCAGGATCGCCACTTACTAGACCCTGAGTCATGTATCAGTTCAATAATTAATCAGGACAGTACGACCAAAGACATTCAGAAAAGCGTAAATGACCATGTGTATAGTGTGTCTTGTTTTAATAAGTCTGGCCACTTTTTAATAGAAAAAAGATAGGCTACCTAAGTGTCAATATGCATGTAATTGAAAACTTTCTCTGCACTTTAGTAAAAATAAAGAACTTAAACACATTTTCCAAAACCCTTAATAACTGCTCTTTTACAGAAGCTAGGTAAAAGTCCCATCTCCATCAGATCCTGACTGACCCAGGGTGGGGGGTGTATGTGAATGATTCTAATTAGCACGTGGGTATTTTCTTAGGTCTTACACATTTCCCTTGACAGGCTGGCATCTATCTTTTTTGTTTGTTTGTTTGTGCTGTAGTGCACATACACTTGCCAGGAAGAGGCCGGGGGCGGGGTGGGGGGGGGCAGAAAATCCACATCTGGGGGATGGCCTTGCTGCAGCCCTATCTCCTCCAGTCTCCTCTAAGGATTTTGGGCATGTAGACACAAGCATTGATTCTCAAACTTCTGAGTCCAGGACTCAAGCCACCCACTTGGTCATGTGAGATCCAGAGCTTTAACCGCTCTACCATCTGCTGGTCCCTGCCATCTATCTTTTCACTTGTTAAAATACAAACATTCTGAGGACTAGCAGTTGGTGTAATGGCTATGTCACTGAATTCCCATGTAGTCGACTGTGGTTCGAGTCCCAGAACCAGTGGCTTAAACTCACGCAGGGCACATGTGCTTGTGTGCCCAAGATCCCAAGAGAAGAATGGAGGAGAAGGGATTGCGGCGTGAGGACATTCTAGGTAAAGTTTAGCTACTATTATATCAGTGAGTTGTGTTGGAGTTAGTTCCTAAATCCTCCATGGCCATCCCCCTGGGAGGTGATTTCTCGCTTTCTACCTCTCTCTCTGTCTTTCTGGTGAGTGCACACACCCTATAGCAAAAACCTCTTTCCCCCCCCCAAAAAAAATTCAGAAGTCAAATCCAGTCAAATTTGTGATTATTTTAAAATCTTTGTCTCATGAAACTGCTCAGTCTCCAGTTTCCTGAATTTAATTATTTTTATTTTTTATTTAAAAATTGTTTTTAATTATTTATTTTTATTTATTATTTTTAAACTTGCTATAGGGCATATGTACTCACTGAGGGGGAGTGATGAGAGAGAGAGAGAGAGAAAGTGAGAAAGTGAGACAGCAAGCTGGCAGGTCTGGGATTTGAACCGTGGTCAGTCATGTGGGAGTCCAGATCCTTAACCACCATGCCACCTGCTGACCCCTATTTATTTGTTTTTATAATTACACTAATTTTTTTTATCAGGAAGGGAGAAAGGTTTATGTTTCAATTCTATTTACAAAAGAAAAAATGAACAAATCGTTGAAGCTATCAACAGATCAAAAGAAAACAAAAATCCTTAAACCTGGAAAACAAGGCATAGAAGAAAATCAGTAATGTTTTAGTTAAAAGTCAGGCAATTCTACTTCATCAGTTTAGTCTCATGATACGTAATTAATTTTATATCATATATAATATTATTTGAATTATATATACCATGATATATGTATATAACATGTCAAATATACATACAGAAATTTTGTTAAATTTCCTTCATGTTCATTAAGAGTTGATCCATCATCTCTCTGGTAGACCCAATAAACCTGGTCATCTTCATTCACCAAAGCTGTGCAGTTGAGCTCTACCTCACTTCCTAGGTGAAAGTTGAAAACCAAATTTCTTATTTGAGAAACGTAGATTTCCCAAACTACCAACTTAATCTAAACAACGGGTGCTGACATAATGTGAAACACAGTGATACATTACAGAAAGATAACAGATATTACTTTTTTTAAGTTAAAAACGAGTGTAAAGGAGAGAAATTAGGTGTCTATTATAAGCCACCACCAAAATATAAATTGGTTTCTGTTTAAATGTGTATTTTTAAATATCAGTTATTAAAACGTAGCGTAATTAGTGGACTTCCTTTCTCCTTTTCTTTCTTTTCAGTTGCCAGAAGGCATATGTACTTGCCAGAGAGAAAGAAGGAGAAAGAGAGAGAGAAATCACCCATCCTTTAGTAGTGCTCATGCCACAATTCTTTCCTCCTCTACTTCTCCATCATGTTGGGATTGGGGGCAAGAATGCTTGTTCATGTGGTGGGCTTGAAAACACCACCAGGACCAAGATTTGAACAGCAGCCAGCCCTGTGGGATCAGCTCCCTTAACCACCAGCTGTAGAGCCAGCCCCACCTTCTTTTCACTCTACAGCTTGGCAGGTGGTGTCAGGCCAATCCCGCTCACTGCAATTGCTAGAAAAACAGAGTGAACAAATCACTGAAAATTAAACAAAACAAAATTAAATTAGCTAAAGAATGAACACATCAAGTGTAGGG